AGAATAATTGTAATCCTCTTTACCTTTATAAATAATTCAGTCTTCGCCCTCAAAACTTATTATAAACTATATTCATAGTAAAACCTATCTTCCAGAGTATAGTTTATAATAATATTTTTCTTCTAGTAATTCTTCAACTTGTTCAGATTGTACATAATCTTCACAAATATTTGTATCATAAGAAATTAAATATTCATTACAGAGTTTTACATTAATATATTCCAATTGAGCAAGTTGTTTTCTTTGGGAAGAAGATAGTTGTTAATAAATAGCCAGGAAGATTTCTTGTACTGATGCTTCTTTAGATTTATCATAGGTAATATATTGCATTTCTTCTTCTTTATCATAATCAGTGATATATCTAGCAAGTATTGCTTTTCCAATTTTATTGCATTGTTGGTAAATATTTAACAAGTTACCATCACTTCTCAATTTTCTAATAGTACCATTATTTTTTTACCAACCACCATAATTAAATACGTATACACATTGTTCAGTGTAGTCACAGAAATATTTGATATCATTATATCTCCAGGTTACTTCAAGAAAGTGTCTAATTTCATCTCGAAGTTTACAGTAATCACAGGCAGATAAATTGAGTTGTTGTTGAGTGAAGTAGTCAGTATAATATTACTTTTCAGATTTGTTTCCATCTCTTGCTTCTGAAATAGTTTCACTATCCACAAAGTATTTACAATATGTACATTTAACTATTCTTTTTCTAGCTTCAATTTTTGTAGAGCTTCACTTTTAGAAAAGAATTTTTCTTCAGTGACTGGTATCTTCTCTGATTCTTGAGTATGTTCCACTTCTAATCACCAGTCTTTAGTTTTGTTCTAAGATAAAATTGTTGATAGGTTGTTTGGGATATTCATTTTAACATTAATCCAGATAACTAGATCATCAAAATATTGAGAGTATTCATGTTTAGATGTTGGTAATTTATGATGATACCAACATTCAGCTACAAAATCTCTCCAATCAAAAGTCCATTGAGAACTTTGATAGTGAGTCTGCTGAAATCTTCTTTCTAATTTTGAGTATTCTTCCCAGGTGAGAGTTGTATCTTTAACTTGTACCTCTTCTTCAAAGATTTTAACATTTCTGACTCTAGGAATCAAATTTATAGTCAGATAAGAAACTTTTTCAAAGTCTACATCATTGAATCATCTGGTTGAGGTGTGAATTTGAGTCCAAGGCTTATCAATTATCCACCATAGAAAATTATGATCTTCTAGGTTTTGATCTTTAATTTCAAACTCATCATCAGAAGTTTCACTGGAAGATGTTTCTGTATTATCATCACTATCTTTTGGTATAGCATTTCGTTGTCCATGAATAAATTTGATTGATACTCTTCCTTCTTCTCCATTCCAATCAAAGGTCATGATATTTTTCTTGAGATCAATTTTGGTATTGATTTTATTTAACCAATCCATTCCTACTACAAGATTATAGGTTCGAGCTTCAGTAACATCCACTTCAGCTGGAATTATGATTCAATCAATAGTGATAGGGAAGTTATCAATTGCTCCTAATGGTTGTTTGGAATGTCCATTAATATCGGACATGGAGATATTAGATTTTCGTTGAATTTTCATTCCTAATCATTTGAGAAATTCATAACTGATGACATATCCTGATGCCCCAGTATCCACAATTAGATCTACAGGGGTTTTTCTAACTTTGGCTTTACACCAGGCTGAGGTTGTTTTGATCTTCTGGGTAAATATTGCTTTTTGTTTGAGTTTCTTCTGTGGTTCCTTCCTCATTCCTTTTGACATTCGAATTCTTTGTTCAGGTGATGTCTTGATAAGCTGAGCAATAGTAATATTGGCTTTCTGGAATGCTAAGTCTTCAAGTATATCATAAGTTTCTGCTTTCTTAGCCAGAATTGGAAGATAAGCTCTTCCTTTCTTTCTTTTCTTCTTCTCCAAATTGGTCTTGTCTTCTTCAGGTACTTCAGGTAAAGGCTGAGTAACTTCTTTTTCTTCTTCACTTTCTTCTTTTTCTTTGACAATTCTTTGACGTTTTCTTTCTTCAGCAAGATAATCATGAGTTGCAAGTAATGAGGAACTAGATTGGGTGGAGGAATCACTAGATGAACTATTGCCAGATGCTTGCAAAGCAGCTGTCAAATTTTGAATTTGGGCAAGAAGAGAAGTAGTATCCAGGTTTTGTGAATTATTGGGTTGCTGATTGTGATTTCAGATATTCTGATTCTGCTGATTATTATTATTATTATTATTACTCTGATTTCGATTATTTCAATTTCGTGAAGTATTTTGATTGTTAGTCTGTTGATTTGTAGACTGAAGATTGTTTGGACAGTATCTACTGATATGTCCTTTTCCTCCACAAGTATAACAAACAATATTAGATTGGTCTCTTAGTTGATTTCGTTACTGATTGTTATTATTACTCTGATTATTATATCTTCTACCAGATTCTACATGATCTAATCTACTGGTCAGGTCTTGCAAAACCTTAGCGAGAGCACTCCATTTACCAGTTGGCTGAGCTTGGGTTTGGTGATAGGTTTGTTCGAGTGGATCTGAATCAGCTTCTTCAACATTTTTAGTAGTTTCAATAATACTTTCCATAGTATCATTAGCATTTAAATTAACCCATTTTCGAATTTCAGGTTTGAGTCCTTTCTTGAAAATCTGAATCTTATATTCTTCTGGATAATCATTCTTTGGATCTACTTTACTTCCTAGTTCCATAAATCGATTGGTATATTCTTCTACAGTTCCAGTTTGCTTTAAGGATTCCAATTCATCTTGCCATTGTTGCACCTTACGAGGCGAACGAAATTTGAGAATAAATTAGCTAGTAAAATCATGATCATCATGTTCTTCATTTGTCCATTCACTTAATCTTAGAGTATCATTTGTGGATCGTTGATCAAACCAGGCAGCAGCTGGTCCCTCTAGGTATCCTCTTACTATCTCGATCTTTCTTTCATTAGTAATTCCATTAGCTTTTGTGACTACTTCAAAGTCATGTAACCATTCAATTGGATCCTGATCATTACCCTTAAATTTACGAATTGGGATAAGGATCTTCTCTGTTCTTTGAATCTTCATTGATTGGGTCAATTCTGCAAGAGCAGTAATAAGAGCATCCATCCCGTCTGTCATAGGTAATTCTTCTTTAGGCTGGGGTTTCTGGAATTGAATTTGTTTAATTGTAACTGTTGATTCTTCAGGGTCTTCTGAATCACTACTTTCGTATTCTGATTCTGTAGGCTGATTAGTTGAGGGGGTTTCAAAGTTATCTGTCTCTTCAAGAACAGAGAGAACACTATTTACTAGGTAGGTCTGTTGTTCAACTGTGATTTTAATTCCAAATAC